TTTTTTAAAAAATGTGTATTACCAAGGTTAAAAAGCTAGACAGCAAACGGCATACAGGAATGTCACGGTCTGGACTTGGCCTACACATCCAGTCACTCCTAAACTTTCACTTCACACTTCAGAAAAGTAAAACTTCTCACAGATCCCCCAACACGTTGATTCACCCCTCCATGCTTCTACAGGGGAAGCAGTAGAGTTTGTTGGTGAAAAGCCAGAACACCGGAATCAGTCAGGCCTGGATTTAAATCCCAGTTCCACCTCTTACTAGCTAGCTGTGTGATCCTGAACAAATCAAAATCTCTTAAGTCTGTTTCTTCATTTATAAAATGGAGATCATAATGTTAAGAGAGGATTAAATGAGGCAGCACATGTAAAGTCCTTTACCTAGTTTCTGGCATATAATGAACAACTAATATTAGAGATTATTATTACTGGCTCATGCTGTTCCCGTCTTCCCCTCCCCCATTTAACCTGAATTCCTGCACATCCTTTAAAAATCCGGCTTAAAAATGACATTCTCAAAACCTTCTCTGCCTGCCTTTCCTCCCAGACAGTTAAAGTCTCTTTCTTTGGTGCAATCTCGGTTTCTTAAATACTTTTGATTGTGATTTCTTTATCTAAGTGTCTTTCTCCCCTACTGGACTATGAATTTCTTATAAACATCATCAATTCCTCATTCACTCCAAAATCCCTGGTACTGAAAAGTACCTAATATTCAGTAACCTATTTCACGTTAAATTTAAGAAGGCCTGTATACAACCCCAACTTGAATCCAAACCCAGTGTCCTTTCCGCTACATCCCACTTCCTCTCCTATCCCCTAATGAGTATTAATTGCTTCTCATCGGGTAGCATAACTGTTTTATGAATAAAACTGTTGCCTTAATGGTGAACACTGAATTTAAAGTTGTTTTTCTTCTACCCAACCACACTGTTCATTCAGAGAGGGCTTTTAGTAAGTTTTTAACTACCTTTAAGGGACACCCACGCTCCTCTTACCTAACCCATCTCTGGACTGAGCTCAGACCAGAAAGGCAGCCCTGACTCTCCAGGAACTCACATTTCAGGGGGATCTCTCTCTCATGCACAACGGTGAAGGGCAGCTTCTCCTGGTCGTCCAATGGCACTGAGTCTCGGGTAAACACGACAGTGACGGGCACCGTGAGCCGCAGCTAGGGGAAGGAGCACCAGGGCCAACAGCTGAGTCTCCACCTTGCCAGCGGGCTGTCCCCTGGCTTTCTCCCACCGAGCCCTCTCACCTGCAGGGCATTCAGTCCACTGATCTGGGAGTAAGGCAACGGGGCCCGGTAGGTCTCCGTGGTCTTCCACCAGAGCGGCAACCCCAGCAGGATGGCCACCGCAGCGAAGAAGAGAGCCGCCCGCTTTCCTCGGACCACCTCTGGGGGGTACGGAGGTAGCGACTTGAGCCGCTGGAAGTGGGCTTAGGTGCACGCCCCACACCCGACCCTTAAGAGCCCCAGCAACCTGCACTCAGAGGCTCTCCGGCCGCGTTCATAGGTAGGAACCCTGTGCTAGGGGCCCGCGCCCAAGTCTAAAGGGATCTTGTCTGAAACGACCCTCCGACACCCAGTCCGCGGGACCTCTTGCAGACCACAATCCCCAAATCCCGCATTCCTCCCTCTCAATACACAAGCCGCGGGCCCCTCCTGAAAGCCACCGCACCTAGGTCTGTAGCAGCTTCCCCCGGAGCCGCCATGCTTGCTTCCGGTTGCTCTAGACGCCGAGGGCGGAGCTACGCAAGCCGCCCCCAATCGGAAAACCGCAAGGAGGGGGCGGGACCACGACAGCGGTCGCAGCCAATCGCGAGCCGCACTCCAGGGGAGCGGGGAGGAAAAGAGGTCGAGGGTGGGTGGGGTCCACAAGGAGCGGGTCGGCAGGTTTGAAAGGAGTCTATCCCGCGCCAACCGCGGTGGAGGAGGTCCGCGGATTTCTGTGTTGCTCGAAAACTCTTCGTTAGTCCCCCGCTTCCTTGCAGAACACATCCCTAGTCCCTCGGATTAAGAGCGCAAACTCTGCAGGCGTTAAACACCTGTTGGGCTACCACAGGCAGCTCTCAGTCTCAGTTTTCTCATCTGGAAAATGGATACATTTACTAAAATGAGCTCACTTAGGGTGGCTTGCCCAATCCGTAGAGCGCAGGGGGCTTGATCTAGGGCTCATAAATTCCAACCCCACGTTGGGTGTAGAGATTACTTGAAGAAATAAAATGCGCCGCCTGTGTGCCTCAGTTGGTTAAGTATCTGCCTTTGGCTCCGGTCATGATCCAAGTGTCCTGGAATTGATCCCCACATTGGGCTCCCTGTTTAGCGGGGAGCCTGCTTCTCCCTCTTCAGCTGCTCGTCCCCGCCCCCCACGCCCAGCTCGTGCTCTCTCTCTCTCTCTCTCTCTCTCTGGAATAAAATCTTTAATTAAAGAGGTGCCTGGGTGGCTCACAGGTTAAGCATCTGCCTTCGGCTCAGGTCATGATCCCAGAGTGCTGGGATCCAGTCTTACATCGGGCTTCCTGCTCAGTGGGGAACCTGCTTCTTCATCTCCCTCTGCTGCTCTCCTTGCTTGTGCTCTCTCGCTCTCTGTCAAATAAATAAAATCTTTAAAAAAAAAAAACTTTAATAAAGAAATAAATAAAATAAAATGAGGTCATTCATGTAAAGAGCCTGGCACAGGAGTCACCCAAATATCACCGATCACATCGCTGTTTATCCATATCATAGAGCGCCTCTTCTGGGCGTCCTCTCCTCAAGCCTTAAATATGGAGGTGGAAAGCCAATAGTACCTTTTTAGCATATTTGGCTCATTCAGTGTTTTGTTAATTCATTTGAATTCATTTCCAACTCGTATAAGTGAATACTTCACCTTAAATTTTAGGAAATTCACGAGCAGATTCTGGATCCTGGATCCAGAATTCTGGATCACTTAGGTTTAAATCCTGACTTCTTCACTTCACCTGAGTGCTCTCGAGAGTTTAATTAATTAACCACTCTGTGCCTGTTTCCTCATATTAAAATAGGGATAGTAATAGTATCTGCTTTATACAGTGTTGTAGTAAATGAGTTACTGAATGTAGAGTGATTAGAATAGGACCTGGCCTAGGGACGCCTGGGTGGCTCAGTCGTTAAGTGGCTGCCTTCGGCTCAGGTCATGATCCCAGAGTCCTGGGATCGAGTCCCACATCGGGCTTCCTGAGCAGGAAGCCTGCTTCTCCCTCTCCCACTCCCCCTGCTTGTGTTCCCTCTTTCACTGTCTCTCTCTCACCATCAAATAAATAAATAAAATCTTAAAAAAAAAAAAAAAAGAAAAGAATAGGGCCTGGCCTGCCAGGAATACACAGTCAGTGCAACAGGGGATTCCTGGGTGGCTCAGTTGGTTCAGCATCTGACTCTTGGTTTCAGCTTAGGCATGATCCCAGGGTTGTTGTGGGATAGATCGAGCCCTGCGTTGAGTCCCATGCTCAGCAGGGAGTCAGCTTGAGATTCTCTCTCTTTATCTCTGTCCCTTACCCTGCTCAAGCAATCTTTCCCTCCCTCTTAAATAAATAAATCTCTTATTATTTTTTTAAATTTATTCGAGACAGAGAGAAAGAGAGCATGCACAAGTGTGGAGGAGGGTCAGAGAGAAAGGGAGAAGCAGACTCTCCATGGAGCAGGGAGCCCGATGCGGGGCTTGATCCCAGGACCCTGAGATCATGACCCAAGCTGAAGGCAGACACTTAACTGACTGAGCCACCCAGGTGCCCCTAAATAAAACTTTTTTAAAAAACAAAGTACCGGGGCACCTGGGTGGCTCAGTGGGTTAAAGCCTCTGCCTTTGGCTCAGGTCATGATCCCAGGGTTCTGGGATCAAGCCCCGCATCGGGCTCTCTGCTCCATGGGGAGCCTGTTTCCTCCTCTCTCTCTGCCTGCCTCTCTGCCTACTTGTGATCTCTGTCTGTCAAATAAATAAAATCTTTAAAACAAAACAAAACAAAACAAAGTACCATATAAGTGTTACCTATTTTTGTTAATATAAGGGCAGGGTCCCACTGAGCCTACATCCCCATACTGCAGTAATTAGCTGGGTGGAGCACTTTACACAGAGCATGGCCTCCCCAGTTCACACAGAACACACCTAGTTCTCTCATCTTTTCATCCCCTCAGACAGACCAGGTGTTTGATGTACCCCCACGTCCCAGCTAAGTGGGCAAAGTTTAGCATGAAACCTCAACAGGTCTACCCTTGCCCAGACCCTCAAATCAGCCTTCTCTGTGTCCTCTTCTATCCCAATGGGAATGGGCAAGAGCCCTTGGCAACCTCCTAGACAGCCTGCTTCATCTGGCGGTCCTGAGACTTGGGGCTTTTCCATGTTGGGCGGGAGCCCAAGTGCCGCTCCTGCAGTGCCCACCCCACAACCCCAGCACAATGTGTCAAGCCCCAGCAGGGTTCAACGCAGAGGACAAGTGAGAGACTCCCATCCCCTTATCTGTTTTGGGCTCTGTGCAAAAGCTGCCTTCAGGGGGCGCCTGGGTGGCTCAGTGGGTTAAAGCCTCTGCCTTCGGCTCAGGTCATGATCCTGGGGTCCTGGGATCAAGCCCCGCATCGGGCTCTCTGCTTCACGGGGAGCCTGCTTCCTCCTCTCTCTCTCTGCATGCCTCTCTGCCTATTTGTGATCTCTGTCTGTCAAATAAATAAATAAAGTCTTTAAAAAAAAAAAAAAGCTGCCTTCAGGAATTGTACAAGTCTCGCCTTCCTCCATCCTTCAGCTGCCCCCTAGTGCCTGAGGCGGCAGTCCCTGAAGAACATGAAGCCCTCCGCACTGCCCACACTGCAGCCATGGACATCACCAGCAAGAGCCTGAGCCGGGACTGGTGACTCCGTGTACCCCTCCCTCATAAACTTAGAACCCAGGAAAACTACCCTCCCCACCTCCACAGGCAGAAGGCCCAGAGACAGTCAGTGGAAATCAGAAACTGAGGTGGGAATTTGATGTGTAAAACAGACAGACAAATTAGCATGGTTTGCTACCATTTATTTGCTTTGTGGTATGTACCCAAGGCATGAGTCACGTCTGGTGTTTTACTTTCTGATCCCAGGAGACAGGGCAGGCAAGGAAAGCCCAAGGAGAAGCTACCACATCATGAGGAAATTGTGGGGGCTGAAGGAGGCAGGGGGAAACCCAGCCATCCTGCTCTGACTTCTAGCAACTTCTCCTGTCTTCAGTCACAAGGGGCGCACTATCTTCCCATCCAATGGTCCCCGGTGCAGCAGTGGGAGAGGGGAGGGGAGGACAAGAAAAGGAAGATGACTCAGTGCTATATGGAGGCATCTCTGCTCTGCATGGCTATTTGGTCCTAGCCGTAACTAGAGGCAAAACAGGGTGCGGGTGGCCAGGCCAAGGGCTGTGGTGTGGAATGCGTACTCAGTAGGCGTGGTTTGCAATGTAGAGGGACTGTGCTGCTGCTCCCCCGTCTTCTCCGCTGCCTTCATACTTGCCCTGGGCTGCAAGCCCATTCACCTGCAAAAGGGTGCGGGGTAGGAGGGAGGTGGAGTAAGCGGGCTGACACTGCCCACAGGTGCCAAACCCTGCCCAGCCTCTAGTCTGTGGGTGCTGCCCTCCCACCTAACCATACCCCTCTCCCACAACCACCATCTCTAGCTCCCTACCTCAGCCCGCTTGATGAACTCCTCAGTGGCAGCCCCAGCATTGTCTTGTTGCCCTCTCCAGGCATTGAGGGCAGAGGCCTGAAGGGCACGCCCATAGGAAAAGGTGAGGGCCCAGGGCCGAGGAAGGGGACAGCGGTTGATAGCATTGAGGTTGAGCGATGCCTCCTCTTCACTCTGACCCCCAGATAGGAAAGTCACTCCTAGGGTAGAGAAGAGAGGACAAACTGGTTGGTCAAGCCCCTATTTTTCCAGGGCACGGGACCCATGAAGGCCACAAGAACCTGAGAATGGGTCTTAGGGACAGGAGCAAGTTAGGAAGCAGGGTAGTACCTGGGACAGCTGGGGGCACAGTGCGACGCAGGGCAGTGACAGTTGCCATGGCGATCTCCTCTGGGCTATATTTAATGGGACAGGCATGGCCAGGGGTCACCATGTTGGGCTTGAGCAGGGTCCCCTCCAGGTACACGTGATGGTCACTCAGGGCCTTGTACACAGCAGCCAAGACCTGGAGATCAGAGGAGGCTTACTAAGGTTCTGGTGGCCCCTTTTTTAGGGGAAGGTGGGCATGACTGTGAGGGTCAGTATAGGCTCAAACTCGCAGGTGTGTTCTGGGACAGTGTAAAGAGTGCTTGGGGTGAGTGCCTGCATCTGAGCCAGGGACTATGGGGAACAGGCTCCCCCGTCAGGCCACCCTTGCACTATGTGTCTGTGTGCGGCTGTGGACTCACCTTCTCGGTAACATACTGACAACGTTTGAGGTCGTGGTCTCCATCTGGCAGGATTTCAGGCTCCACAATAGGCACAATGCCATTCTGCAGGTAAGAGCAGAGTAGCTTGGGCGGGGCAGCAGGTGGGAGGGGAAGAAACCCTTGTACCCCTCTCCCCACTAGGCACAGGGCACCCACCTAAGCCCCTTACACACACACACACATACCTGCTGGCAGATGCTGGCGTAGCGGGCCAGCACGTTGGCATTTTCTAGAATGGCAAGTGCTGAGGGTGTGCGCTCACTGATTTTCAGCACGCAACGCCACTTGGCAAAGTCGGCGCCATCCTTCTTGTATTGGGCACAGCGTTCCGAGAGCCCATCCAGCCCTGCAGGCATAGTGCCAGCCTCATCACTCTACCCTTCTTTGCCAGCATCAACCATCCAACAACCCTGTGGTGTTCACCCACCCATCCTGTACCTTGAGTGGTGGTTTCTCCGTCAGTCCCTGCTAGAGGCACTACGCCCTTGTCAACCTGTAGGGGAAACACACAGGCAGAGGGCTGAACCCCGGCAGGATTCCCCTTGTCAACACACACACACACACACATATCTATTTCCATTTCCATGTTCGGCCCCCATCAAGGGCCAGTGGCTGCACCTTGATCCCCACGACAATGCCTTTATCCTGAATGGTACGAACGAAGGGAACACCATTATCGTCTTTCTGGTAGAGCGTCTCATGGAAGAAGATGACCCCGCCGATGCACTTCTTCACACGGTCATCAGCACTGAACAGGACCTGGCGGTACAACCGGCGGTTTTCCTCTGTGTTCTCCACACCAATTTGGCTCAGCCGCTTGGCCATGCTGCCTGGAGGCGAAAAAAAGAGGGGTAGCCAGCTCATTCCCAGGGCTCTCTGGCCATCTCTACCCCACCCCACCTAGCCACAGGTCCCCACCTACCTACAGACTCATCTGCGGCCAGAATGCCTTTGCCTGGGGCCACAATCCTGAGCGCAATGTCAGACAACTCCTTTTTCTGCTCAGCAGAAAGGGCTGGGTATGAGTGGGGCATGGTGACAGCTCTGTGGAGTAGAGACAAGATATAAAAGCTGGATCCGACCTACGACTTCCTCTGCTTCCTCTCCTGGCCACATGGGGGCCAAATGGCCTCCCCCATCTCCCAACAAGCATAGAGCTAGGAACAAGGCCGTAGTCCTTGGCGTGGGTCCTGGGCAACACAGTGGCACCAATCCCTCTGACAGCTAGCAGGCTTAGGGCCCCAGTTCCCACATCTCCTTTTGTCCCTGGTGGGCACCCTTCCCAGCCCTGGGGAAAGATGCAGGGTGGGGGTGGGTAGGTGAACTGCCCGAAGCTACAGGTCTTCTTGTGAAACTACTGCCCAAACAAAGATCCAGTCCTTTCACTGAATCTGGCCCCTTCAGGTAGGACATAAGCCCTGGCCCTTGCAACTTCCATTTTATCATCTTCGGCAAGACCCCTAGGAAAAGCATACTTACTTCCAAGGCTTCAGAATGAAGCAAAAGTACCTATCATCCTCTTCCCTTGGGTTCTGGAGGAAAAGTGGGTGACAAGTGGGGAGCCGGAGTGGCACACACAACTGCCATAGGCTTCTGTAACCTCTTCTTTTCCATACCCCAAATCTGACTGCCTTTGTAACCAGATGGGAGCAAAGGACCAGGGTTGAAAGGAGTGAGCAAAGGGCCTGAGAAAAGGAGGATGGAGCGGGGAGATCTGTGGGGAGGTGACAGGGAGACAGGCTAACTAGCCAAGGGAAAGACCTAAACCAGTGGGAGAGAGTAGGCAAGACAACTGGACCAGGAACTTAGCCTAGAAGAGGGAGTAGGCTGAGATGAAAATGGGATGGTTGGGAGAGGCTGACCCCCAGGAAAAATTCTGTAGGCAGAGGAAGACTTGGGATTAGAAAAGCTGAGGTCCGGGCATGAGAGCTAAGAGGAAGGGGTCCTGTGGGAGAGGCTGAACCATAGGGTTTCCGAGTGGACAGAAAGGAGAGAGGATTAAGAAGAGAACCGAGAAGGCACATCCAAGGACCCCCGGGGAGTAGGGCAAGGGTGATAGAGGGAAGAGTCAGGGAGAGGAAGGAGAGATGCTGAGCAGCTCTTGCCTCGCCGGATTACCTCACCTGTGTGCAGCAGCAAGGTGCGCAGCGAGTTAGCGGCGACAGCCACAGGAAGGGTGCGGATTCAATTCCGCAACAGCTGCGCCTGAAGCTCAGGCTCCTGTAAATGAGGCTGCGGACGCCGCAGAGCTACGTGACTCCCCCGAGGGGAGGGCACATCCCCGCCTTGGCCACGCCCCCTCCCCGGACTGGTAACCCGACAGAGCCACGCCCACTGAGGCGGGGCCACGAGGTGGAGTGACTACCCCGCAGGCTTCTAGGAGGCTGTCGTCCCACTCCCACCTCCCTACCACTGGGGTCCCCGGAGGCAAGAACTGGCCTTGCCCTCATTTCTGCCACAATCGCTTTTACCATGTGCCGGGCACTGGGCTGGATGCAGGAGACTGAGCCTGGTCTGATGAAGGAGAGTCACCTAAGTAGTTGCAACTGGTGGGGTAAGGAGAGGCACGAGCAAAGTGTGGTAGTCCAGGGCAGAGAGTAGGAATGAGTTTCTCTGTCCTCACCCTCTTATTTAGGACCTAGCCTAGAGGGGGGATGGAGAAGGTAAGAGAATGAATCCTTGTCTGTCCCACCCCCAGGCTAAGAGCCAGGGAACAAGCAGTCCAGTGCCCAGAGTGTTTGAGGAAGCAAGAGAAGGGAGGAGGAGCTTTTGGCTCTGGATGCAGGGGGAGGGTGCTATGGAGGGAGCCCAGGCAGGAGAGCCAACAAGGTTCTCTAACCTCATCCATCCCCCACACCCAAAACACAGGATTCAGTGAACTTGAAGAAATACATTAAATATATTTTATTTAAATAACATTAAACACAGCTAGCTCTTTGTCCGTTGGTCCTGGTGTTGGGGGTAAGGGAGTACTGCAGGTAAAGGGTGAAACAGATTCCAGCTTTTAGTTTCTTAGCTCAGAAATTCCAGCAATCCCTGTAGCTCCTTGCAACCCCTCACAACCTCTGGGATGGACTGCAGAGTCTGGGAAGAGGCATAAAATGCAGCTTAGGGTCACAAGTCCAAGGCTCCCAGCCCCAGGAAGCACCAACTGGGTCAGAGGGGAGAAGGCAGAAGCCACAGAGAAGCCTGCAACAGTGAGTCAGGCCCAGGGCTCAGCACAGGCTGGGAACCACAGAGATGCTCCTGAGTACTTCCTGGGGCCAAGCCCTATGCCAGGTGCCTTAGCTACATCAACTCCCTCCCTCCTTTACCTCATAAATATGCTGAACAATGTCATCTAGTTTCTTTAACTCCTTGTCAGAGCGCCGAAGATTCTCCTCTAGTATGTTTCTCTAGAAAACAGACAGGATGCATTAAGTCCTACACTCAAAAGAACAGCATAGCTTGTGGGGCAAGGAAAATACTGCAGAGCACTTGCTAGTAGTAGTGGGAAATGGCCCTGAATGGCATGGGAATTCTTACGTGGCTCTGGAACTTGACCATGAGTTTTGCCTTCTCATTTTTCATCTCCAGGAACATCACCCTCAATTTGTCCACCTGTAGGTATATCCAGATCAGTAGAGGCACAGCCTAGGGTTCCCGCCAGCTGCCCAGCTCCTCTGCTAACTCTGAGTCACCTCTCACCTCTTGGGAGAGCCACACTTTCTCCTGGATCCAGTTAGTAGCCATAGGCTGACAGTCGGGGTTCAGCTGACCTGCTAGAGTCTCTTGGAGCACCTTAGTTTCTGTCTCCGCACGCCGAAGTGAGCGGGTGAGCTGGGTCACCTCCTCTCTAAGGCTCTGGGGACGAGAATGGAGAGATGTCCAGTAGCCCTCAAAGGGCCTCTCTACCCTTATTATCCCATGTGGTGAACAAGGGAAGAACAGGGATCCATTTCCCACCGAATCTGAGATTCTAGCCCTGAGGGACACAGAAGGCAGAGGGCCAGGCATCATACTGAACGTACTATGAGCTCGCCGCTCCTGTCTATCTGCTCTAGGATCTTCTCGTTCTGCTGTTGTATCACTTCCTGGAGCTCCTTTTCATTCTGTGAGGGAAAGGGAGGTAAGAAGCACTGAGAGAGCTGGCTTCTTAGCAGCCCTTGCCAGGAGATAGGATTTAGTGTCTGACCCCTATCCAGCTCCAATAACACCAATTGATAACACTCCCAATTCTTCCTCTAGGGCTACATCAGGCAAGGCATTTTTCAGTGTTGAGAGAGTTCTGCCAGAGTTCCTGACTTCTAGGTCATCCTGGGAGATGGGTCAGCCCATTGCTAATTCCCAAACGTGTGAAATGTCTGACCCCAGGAAGGGCAAAACTAGGGCAAGGATTGGAAAATCCCCACCACCCAGATTCCTGGAGAGACCATTGCTCCCAATGGGCCAGTAGAGCTGCCCCAGTTCTTCATCGCCCCACTTCTAGGCCCCTCCTTCACCTTGTAGCGCAAGCACAAGGCCTGGTTCAGCTTCTCTATGTCTGCCTCCTTTGCCTTCTGGGCTTCCTGATGCTGTTCTTCCTGGGCCTGTAGCCTCGCCTGCAGATCACAACTAGGGGAGGGACAAATTCAGCATTATTTCTGTCCTCCCAGGTGCTGGCTGGGCCCTGGACATAAGGAGCTGTCTCACATGACCTGCCCCCTCTGATCAAGACCACGCTCCACTCACATCTTTCGCTGCCGAGTCCTGACAGCTTCCTCTTTAGATTCTTGCAGCAGGGAACATAGGCTTTGAAGCTCCAGAGTCATTGCACCCATTTCTGCCAGGCTCTTCTCCATGCCTGGGATCTCTGAAAGAGCAAGTGCTAGCTGGAAGCAGAGCCCTTGGGCTCTGGAAGGAAGAAGTGTGGGTAGTCATCACCACCACAACTCTTATCCATGTTCCCCACCCATAGGATTTGAATTTCCAGAACACTGCAGATCCCAAAAGGCAGAAATAAAATGAGTCCATGTAAAATTGAGGTTTTTAGAGCAAATTACTTCTCACTGTTTTACTCTTTATCATGAGTACCAGATCTAGAAATGAGGCAGGATCCCTGGAGCCCATCCTAACCTGTAGGCTGAAGGGAAACCATTGATGCTACTCGGGTGAAAGCACTCTTGTCACTTCCAAGCAAGGGCACAGGAGATGCTTCTGGCTCTGAAACAAAAACCAACCAAGGTAGAGGGCCCCTCTGGTGACCCAGTAAAGGTCTGCCATAACAGAAGCCAGGACCACAACTCTCCCACCCTTAAATCCCAGGGCCTTTAACCTTCATCCGCCATTGCTGTCAAGACATTTCCCAAGAAGGCGCTGTCAGTAGGCGAAGGGCATTCCTGGGCAGGAGCACAGGCTGTGCTTACCATGGGGGTCTCTGGTTCAGCCTAAGGGTAGAGGAGAAACATGGTCAGTGGCTCTTCAGGCTTAGGGATCTCTTGAACTTCCAGGTACCGAGCAGCCACCTCCTCTGGAATGCTGTTCCATCTACTCTTTTTTTTTCTCTATCAGCACCTTCTCAATAGCTCCTTTCCCAGAATTTAATTCTCTCAAAAAAAAAAAAAAAAAAAAAAAAAAAAAAACAATTAAACACAAAAACCTTCTTAACTTAAATCCCATTTTTAAGCTGCCTTTTCTCTTTCCCCTCCCATCAAGAAAAAGATAAAGAAGCCTATATTTCCCGCCTAAAATTATCACATCTAGTGACTCCCTACCCCACTACACTCAGTCTTCTTCCTCACCATTCCACCAAAACTTGTTTGGTTCACTAAGGACATCCTTACTTTCAAATTCCACAGACATGTTTCAGCTCTTGTTTTACCTGACCTATTTCATAATCGATCACCATGTTCTTCTTTTAGAAACTTCCTTTTCTTGGGGCGCCTGGGTGGCTCAGTGGGTTAAAGCCTCTGCCTTCAGCCCAGGTCATGATCCCAGGGTCCTGGGATCAAGCCCCACATTGGGCTTTCTGCTCAGCAGGGAGCCTGCTTCCTCCCCACACCCTCTGCCTGCCTCTCTGCCTACTTGTGATCTCTGTCAAATTAAAAAAAAAAAAAAAAATCTAAAAAAAAAAAAAAAAGAAACTTCCTTTTCTCAGCTTCTGGGACATGACTCTCTCCTTCATACACACGCCTCATAACTTTCTGACTATTTCTTCTCTTTATCCACAGGTTGTTCCTTAAACTGTTGGACTCCTTTTGGTTCATCCTTGGCCTTCTTTATACTCTAATCCATTCCCTAGGCCTCGCCTTGGGGAACTCCACAAAAACAGCTACTACTACGTGGATGAACTTTGTCTCTCTCAAGTAGATTATTTTCCCAATCTCCAGACCCAAAAGCCTGTGAAAAATCTACCAGAACGCTCCATAGTCTACCTGAAATTTAGTTTACATAAGGCTGACCTCACCATTTTCCCTGTCCCATCCCACCAAAAATCTGTTCCTCCTCCAGTTTATGATCCTAGGGCCGGGGGATTGGGAGGGCAGCAAATGACAGCCTGTGGTTCAGATCTGGCCTGCCACCTGTCTTGGTAAATAAGCTTTATTGAAATACAGCCATACATTTATTTACACACTATCTATGGCTGCTTTTGAGCTACAAAGGCAGAGTTGAGTAGTTAAGAGAGTGACAACATGGCCAAAAAGACGAAAGTACAATATTGTACTTTATGGGAAAAGTGTGCCACCCCCAGTTCTAGAAGGTATCATCATCTTTCCAGCAATTTAGAGATGACCCTTCACTCTTCCACATTACTCCTACACCAAATTGGTCACCAGGTTCTATTACTTCTATTTTCTAAATATGTATTCAATTCATCCAGTCCACCCTTTCCTTTCTAACCCTTCTATAATCGCCATTAGTTCAAGCCTCCAGGCCTCTTGTCTACTTCTCTAGTCTTGTCTCGTCATTCTTTTTTTTTTAAGATTTTATTTATTTCTTTGACAGAGACAGATCAGAAGTAGGCAGAGAGGAAGGCAGAGAGAGGAGGAAGCAGGCTCCCCGCTGAGCAGAGAGCCCAATGCGGGACTCAATCCCAGGACCCCTAGATCATGACCCGAGCCAAAGGCAGAGGCTTTAACCCACTGAGCCACCCAGGCGCCCCTCTCCTTGTCATTCTTGCCCCATATAGCTTCTATACTGAAAAGCTACTTCCCAGACTCCAAACCTGCCAAATTCCATATGAGCAGGGCCTTGTCTTGTTCACCTGTGGCCCCAGCACCTAACCCAGG